GTCCGTGGCATGCCGTCAAAGATCAACTCTTCGCCATGACACAAGAAGTTGTTGTAACTTCAGTGTACATGATCACATCTGAACAAAACTTTACGTGCTTGATAACTCTCCCACCCCGAAGACATCTACACGCCAATACCAATTTATATTCATAGCGGCAAGTGCTATGTAGCGCCACATAGGGGGCACAGGAAGTGACATTTAACACCTTCATCCAGCGTCGGAACCACGTAGCAAATTCACAGCCGCACCGGCAGAGCTCCAGAATATGCAACGCGGCTGGCTCACACCCGGACGCGCTACAAGTGCCAGGGCCCGCCCAACGCTGCTTGCAGTATATTTCTTTGTTCCTCTCTCTGTGCTGGAGTTCTTTAAGAACTCGGCGGCTTGATCCAGATTATTATTAAATTGGTTGAATTTTATATAATGATGACATACAGTAATAAAGAGGTGAATTTGTGCATTATACTTTGTCAAACAACGCAAACCAGGCAGCCTTCCATGTTTCAGAACGGCGCTGTTTTTTAATCGCCCACTAGAGGGCTGCAGTGCCACAATAACCAGCCTAGTTCAAATGAACAAAATGACTCAAAAAAAGTTAGTTAGTTCATTTTAATGAACGAGATTTGAATGAACAAGTCTGTCAAAAGAGTCGAGCTTGCCATCACTAGTTTCAGTCTCAATAAACTCTGGTCTTGGTCTTGACTACAGCAATTGTAGTGAGGATAATGTTTCTGTGAGAAGAGCTGCTCACCTCGGGGCAGTATTACTCTTAAATGTGACAACAGTGTACTCCATGAAATCTTGCTGCTCCGTGTGTCTGAGGGAGCGAGCTGGTCTGATGTTGGAGTAGAGAGGATCTGCCTGGTTGTTGGTGAAGTGAGTGCTGGCATACTGAAGGTTATCCTGCTCCTCTGGCTGTTCAGGTAGAAACTGCACAGACATATTTTACATGAGTGGGTTTTTCATCTGAATAGTGAATTCTTACAGATGATTGCAAGACTGAAGGAACTACAGCTGTGGTAATAATGGAACAAATATCCCTGCTTCACCGTGCATTACAGAAAAGAGCTAAGTAAAGGAATTTACAAGGAAAGGACAAAAAGTAGGAAAGCTTCTGGATCTACTAGGAATTTAGTCACATCCGAGAAAAGAGGAGAATCACAGAGAGCGTTTTAGAAATTCATTTCTGTGAAGAAGGATGTCGAAAAAAGAGCAACATGAAGTCCTAAAAGTCAGATTAAGTGACTTTTGTTCTTGAATAAGATCCGTGACTATTCTCACCTGTTCCCTGTTGTCTGGTCTCTCTTCAGGCTCAGACGATTCCTTGGAAGCCCTCTTTTTCCTGGTTAGGAGAATAAATAAGAAAATAAATGATTGAACATTTAAATTGGACAAACTGACCTTCAATGATTTAACATTCAATGATTCAGTGAAACAGAGCTGCTCACCTGATCCACAGGAAGAGACAGAGGGAAATGATAACCAGGAGAACAACAGTGATTGTTGTAGCAACTGCTAATTTCCCTGCTCCTGAGAAACAGGGAAGAAAAGAAAACACAGACAGTAAATTAAAGTGTTACAGCATGTTTGGACCCATTGCTCCCATAGAGTAACACTGCTTTCAACACAAGAAAATTATAATAGTGTAAATAAACCTCTTTAGAATGTTAGAAAGAAGAAACTAAAAGCCAAAGTAGATCAGAATGTTATCTGGCCCTAAAAAGAGATTATTATTTCTCTACTGTCAAAGATAGAAAGCAGAGACAGACCTGAACCAAATACAGGCTCAGTGACCACAAACTGGCAATCAAAAAAGAAAGAAAATGAAAATAAGAAATCAGGGTAACCAAATAAAAAATGTCTGTGAAGGTTCTCAGTCATCCAGGTCATACTTATCCAAAGATGGTTAAATTCAAGGGAAACTGGACTTTGTTGAAGATACTAGAAGACGTTTCGTCCCTCATCCAAGAGACTTCTTCAGTTTTTTTTTAAACCTGTCCTGCCCAGCAGCCTGCTATAGAGTATGATGAGCTGGATACCATATTGTGCCAGATAGATTTTACTTTAACAAGAGAGTATTAATATACTCCTTTGTCTGTTTTAATTATGTATTGATTTGTCACCGGGCCGGACAGGGGGGCAGACACGGGGATAGGGAGGCACAAACAGACAGCACAGAGAAAGGACAAGACCTGTAAGAGAAGGGGATGGAAGGTGTGGACAACAGGGAAAAGCAGAGGGAAACACCAATTACAGAAAGCAACGAAACCTGCAATAGAACAGAGAGGGGGGCTTAGGGAGGAGAAAAACAACAACAAAAAAACACAAACAAAAACAAACGATAAAAATAATAATAATAGTAAAAGACAACCAACCGAACAGCAGCAATAAACAGCTGACATAGTAAGACAACTAAGAGAAAAATGAAAACAAGAAACAGTCACGCACGCTAAATAAGCAACACAGCACAGCAACGAGAGCTGGAATAATAGCAATTAATTTAAATAAGTAACTGAAAGAAAAGCTAAGACTAATTCTACCAGGGACAACCTAAATTTGTTTGTGTCTATGTGTGAGACTGTGTGTGTCTGTATGTGTGTGTGTGTACATGTGTGTGCGCGCATAAGCCTGTTAAAGAATGTAGTTGTTGAGTGGGATACCACGACTGTGCCACACCTACCCCAGCAACGGTCAGGAAAGAACCCCAGTAGCCAATAGGGGTTGGAGAAAGATTTTTTTTTTAATCAATCAAAAAAAACAAAGACTCCCAGATGCACCACGATGCAAACGCGAAAGACCGCAACCCAAATGCCAGTTGACAACGTAATCCCCACGGAACGCAAGAGGTGTAACCCGCGGAAGAGCAGCACCCGGATGGACCGTGTTGTGCAAACAACATGGACCAGTGCTCCCCACAAACCAGAGAGCAAGCGGAATAACATGACAGCGAAAGCCAGCGGAGAGAAACACCAGCTGCAAGTCCCAGCCCGGCAGCAAACGCGCCGCACAGGTCACCATGCACCCGCCAATAAAAGTCCGCCGTACCCCCAACCACCGGAAAAAAACTTAGGCCACCGGCGCCAGCCGACATCCCCCATGCCCAGCACGCCCCCCGGCCGCCGTGCAACACCAGCCAAACCAGCAACGAGGCAAAATCAACTAGCTCAGCTGCATGCCACCACCAAGCCACCTACCCGTCAAGGGCCGAGAACTCCAGGCACAAACCCAGAACAAATCAGAGCACAGCCCTGCTCCGCACCCACACTGCACATCCCGAAAACTAACTATATACCTCAGTATCCAGAGGGGTCCAACAACTGGCCGACAGAGAAATGGGGAAGCATGGATCCGAGGCCAACGAACAGGGACGCAAACTGGTCCCTCCAAGCCAATGAGGAAATGCCTCCCCCGGACTCCAATGCACAAACTAAATGCCCAGCAGCCATTCAGAGACCCTGCCCAGGGAAAAAGCACATTGCTGAATGAATAGTCAGCTGAAGTAACCTTATTGTTTTTACTGCGGTTGTGTACGCATAGATAATGAGCTCTGGACAGCACCTGCCACAGGGCCCTGGACCAGGTTAGGCTGCCTGAATAATTGTTTCTACTCTGTTGGTCTGGTACTCGGTTGTTAGTCTTGAGTGATGTTGTGTTATGAACATTTGGCCAAGCATTAAGAAGTATGTAGGCCTATTTGATACATGCACCACTGCTACTATGCAAATGTTATGGTTGCAATACATATATTTATACTTTTCTGCAGATGACTCATGTTGATACTGTAATGTAATTGCATGGGGTTAAAAAAGGTAGTCCTTCCTACAACACAAAAAATGATGCCATGTAACAAAATCCAGGAAGTACTTTTCTTTCCAGCTAAATGTATTTTGAAAAAGTTCTAGTTCTATGTAAAATCAGACGTTGGGCACCCCCATATAGAAAAATGGTATGATCCTAAAGTTAGCTGCAGTTTACTCACATTTCACATTGATAAAGACAAATTCAGATGTCTTCCTCCCCAGCTTGCTTTCTGCTGCACAGTAATATTCTCCAGAGTCAGAGGACTGGATGGACCTGAAGACAAGCTGTGGTTCTTTACTTAGAGGATGAAGGTTTGGATTTCCATTTTCCTTGTACCAGGTATAATTAGCTGCTGGTTTAGCATCACTGCTGCAGGTCAGAGTCACTGAACTGCCCTCCACTATCTCAGCAGAGGGACTCACTGACACAGAGGGAAGCATTGGAGCATCTGGAGGAGAAAACAAGAACACATTTAACATTTAATTTCAGTATGAGGTTGAGTTTTCACAGTGGAGCATTTTAAATGGACAATATTTCATACAAACTCAAAGTGGAGGTGCAGCTTGATTTCCTCCTGTATCAGAAATTACATGTTGTCATGTTGGACACTTTATTACTAATGCAAAGAAGGTGTTTAAAAGAGAGTGGTAATCTTCATGACATTTTAAGATGTGTGTTTGTGTGTGTGTGTGTGTGTGTGTGTGTGTGTGTTTTGAGGGTCCATCTAAGGCACATGAACTAGAAGGATCTATAAATAAAAGAGGAACAGATGTCTTCATTTTAGACTGAACTGTCAACACACACACACACACACAATAACCTTCATAAGATGTTGAACATTTGGAACTAAATTAATACATATTCAGATGAAAATGTTACCTGTGACAGACAGAGTGACTCCAGGTGAACCAGTATATGTCCCATTTGGTTGGTTTGTTATGAACCTGAACTTGTACTCAGCTGAGTCGCTCTCTCTCAGGTCTGTGATTCTCAGAGTGCAGCGGTTCATTTCACAGTTATACTCCACACGACCTGAATACTCTGACTTTGTTTTCAGATCCAACTGTTCTTTATCTTTCAATTTAGTAAACCACAATGTTTCCTCAACTTTAGTATCACTGTCATTTATTCTGGATGGGTATCTGTAGGTGCAGCTTATTTCCACTGTTGATCCTTTTAAGGCACAGATCTGAGTAGAGGTGTAAGTCACTCCCCAGCTGTTCTGGCCCTGAATCACTGTAACACAGAGCACACCAGGAATTACAACCAAAATAAACAACTGCATTTAACAATAATTTAAACATACAGTGTGTAATTCCTGGCCACATGCTCTAAACAAAATGGAGGTAGCATTTCACCTCCTTCTTCCCCTCAGCCAGGCTACTCTCTAAGTGATTGTGCTCCTCTGCTCTTTTCTATTCACAGCTGTTTATGTCTCCCTGGGAAAGTGGGCGTCACTTCTTCTGCAACAATGAAGTTGAAAAGACCATCACCTTGTGTGATGATCTGTGGGGAGACGCTTTTCTCCTGCCTGTAGGTGTGTCTGCTCCTCTCTGTTGAGGTGGTGGCAGTAGAAACGAGAGGTCGAGGAGCGCGACAGAGAGGGAGAGCAGCTCATGCAGCGTCGACAAGCTACTTCTTCGTTGTTGGGACACAGAAATATTTGTTCTTCCAGATGTTTCAGATTTGAGGATCTCAACCAAATGCATCCATAGGGCTGTTTTGTATTATTCTTTCCGACACTGACCAGTAGTGTTGTAGTACACAAGACCGGTCTTGGTCTCAAGACCACCTTTTGATGGTCTCGGTCCCCTCTCGGGATTGACTGCATTTGTGCTCGGCCTTGTCTCGTTCTCGAACATAGAGGACTCGGGATTATTTCAAGAGCAGTCAAGACCTGAACTTTGGAAATATCAATATATTGCCTGAATGTTGTCTGATTTATTTGTTAATATACTAACTTTTGATGTAAAACGTATTGCTTCAAATGCAACCAATAACACTAATTAAAAACGCAGTTGTTACTGTTAATGGCTGTCACCCCTCCCCGCCCTCCTTCACACGCACTCACACAAGAAAGTGAATGGGGGAGACAGGCGAAGCTGTGGCTTTCTGGGAGCAGGAAGATATGTCAGCAAAATCTTCGTAATAACATTTAGCTGCATAAACCATAAAGAATGAATCTGTCAAACAGCGTCCAGAAGAAAACACACAGCAATCTGTTGAGGGAAGTAGCTAATGAAGTTAGTTTGTTTGAGACTGTGGACAGGGCATGTGGTGACAACTTGTTCCTAAGATACAGTTTTGCTTGTGATAAACAATGATGAGACAGGCCACAAAAAGCTACGTTGCTAATGTGTAAGTTAAGTAACATCACCGTTAGCTACTGTCAGCTGCACGCAGCTCCAGACATTAAAGCTGCACTCTGTGGTACCGCTTCCTCATTTGTGTGAGAGAGTTAGCTTTGAGATGTGACGGCAGGGAGTGGAGACCAAGTAACACTCCTCCACTTCTATGGAAAATGTACATATTAAATAGGTTTCTCTGTATGGCCATAAGCACACGGTAATTTACTTTAAAAGAGCTAATTTTGAGTTTGAATACACAGTTGCAGATCAAAATGAAGCATCAAATACGGAAGACAAGAGTAACCTGAAAACCTAATGCTTGCACAAAAAATTGTATTGTGTAATAAAACAATAATGATAATTAAAGTAATTTTCCTCAATAACAATAATACAAATGTTTAATAAATGTTTGATTTTATTCATTTGAATCACAAATGAATTCACACTTAATTTTACTATTAAGATATTTAGTTTCTTGAGGAAAAGGGACTGAATTTTTAACTTAATTTAACTTGTGCATGTTTGTTGAAAAAACCTCAGATTTGTGAAGTGATCCACTGTTTGGCATCAAGTGTTTGTTCTGAATAGAAGAATAGTTTAAAACCACAATTACCATCTGCCTTTAAATATGAAAGAAATAAGAACTAAATTGACATTTATTGTGTTCTTAATGTTTGTATGTGGGTGTTTTAAAGGCAATGTGGATCTTTTAGAACAATTAGAGAAGTACAGTACCTGTGATCTCGTTCCACATTTTATTATGTGTCATGTAATGTGGGAACTGGTCTTGGTCTCGACTTGGTCTCAGCCCCTAAAGGTCTTGCTCTTGTCTCTGTCTATATAAACTTTGTTCTTGGTCTTGACTACAACACTACTAACCAAAGTAAGAGGAGAAATACTGTATCAGTTATGGGAGAGTCTGTGCTTTTCTTGGTCAGTTCTCTCTGTTCATTGTGTGGTCAGGTTGCTGCGTAATTGTGAAGACGAAAAAGAAATGCAGAACACTGAGGTGTGAGAGATTGTTTATGGCAGTTATGATATAAACAAAAGATAAAAGCTAAAAACCGTTTTTGACGCTGAACATGGAAACATCACACTGATGTCAGACATTACAAAAGGAACTAGCAGGGTTTGGTGCAGATGTATGAATATTTGAGAGAAGTCCGTCTGTGATGACTTCACTGTGAGACCAATATACCTCCAAAAACTATACTGTGATAAAAGCAGCTGCAGGCTCAGCTATAGAGCAAATTAAACAGGACAATTTGTTTTTAAAGAGTCACAATTAAAAACCACGATATTCTCAGTTACAGCATGTAAAAGTACTTAGCACACAGGTAGCCTACTTTTTGTAAAGGACAAAGCAAAAGAAGTTGGCCACAGCAAACTTTCTAATATCCAATAAAATGTACACAAACAACTATATTAAAAAATATTAACATCTGGGGAGTTTCTACAATTGTAAATTAAAACTAATGTTTCTAGCTTTTCTGGGTTTGCCTTTCACACAACTCTAAGCCACTTATTTCTACATGTGACCTTCAGCCTACTTTTACAAGACATACATTTTCAAATATTCCCCTCTTTTATTGCAATGAATGTAAGTTTAGATATTCAGTACCTGACACAGAGAGAAGGAAGACGACAAATCCTCTCGCTGCTGCAGTTAAACTCATATTTGCTCCTCTCATCTCTCTGTGTGGCTTCAGAGACAATAAAACATGTCAGCAGATAAACTAATGTACACAGGTGATATACAGTATCAGTCACATCAATAAACAATTGTACTTACAATGAAGAAGGACGCTGTCTTTAAAGATACCTTTCCTCTGTGGTCAGTGAGCAAAAAACGGATGTCAGGCTGTTAGACAACTAGATTTCCTTCCTCTTTAGATTACTAATATACATGATGAGCTGAATGCAACATCAAACAACAACACCCACATCAAAATAAAGTTTGACATTTTACAACTATAAATAAGAGAGAATAAGAAAATAATATTACTGTTGGTATTAAAGCGCAAAAACAAGAGAGGTGTTTAAGTTGGTTTGATGCTCACTTGACACTTCCAGTGCATCTTCAGACAGTGAAATAACCTTTATACCAGTATAAGTTCAAAGAGATGGACTGCAGCAGTATGGGATGCAAAAAGTGTAAGAAACGTAGATCAGAAACAATGAATTAAATTTTGCAGCTCTCTCACTCACAGTCATTGTGACTCTGTGTCACTGTAACACAGAGCACATCTGACAAGATGCTGCTGGAGGTAAGACAGAAAATATGTCTTCTTGTAATTTGGGTGAAGTGACTCTTTGAAACAGGCAGTGGAGGGAGCTCTCAGAGTGATTCAGCCTGAATGTGCCACAACAAAGTTTCACCACTAGAGGGCAGTGAAACATCACAGATACTGAATCAGGACGCTGAAACATTTTACCATCCATCACTGATTGTTAAGTCAAATTGAAGTTTACTTTGGCGTTTTATTATCACATTTTAGTATTGAAACTATTTGCATTTTAGCTTTACCCTGGACATTCACTTTATTTAGTATTATAGGCGCATATTAAGTTCACAAAGTGTCAACAGCTCACATTGGGGAGCAGCATATTAGATATTGCAATAGCAGCAAACTTTTGATAATTGACTTATTTTGGCTGAACAAAGACTCATAATTAAGGTGTTGCACAAACTATCGATGATGGGCTCTTATTCTGAAAGGCTTCACACTTAGTGAACCTCGACCTGCTCTGCTTCCATGAATGACCCCAAAGAGTTTAAATGGACTAAATTGACATTTAGAGCTCAAATGTAAGTTAATGTCCTCTTCATTAAACTGTCTGTGCATCTTTATATCGGCAACATCCCGAATCATAATAATCTGTTACGCTGTGGCACATTTCATCCTCATAGTGACAAGAACAGATAATGTGAGCAATAAGCCAAAGCAAAAAATACATTTAAATTTTATTTGTCTTGATAGCTGCACACAGAAACTCGTCAGGATTTTCTGCTACATGCTGCTGCTGACTGTCTGCGCTGCTGACTCCACCCTGCTGCTGCTACTGAGAACTGAAAAGGAAAACTTTTGGAGTTGAAGGTAAATGGATCCACTTCCTCCACAGACTCGCTCTACTGTGATGTTTCAATGCCGTCCTACCATGAGGTGAATCTGCTTCAACTGCATCTGAAGAAAATCACATAAAACTTGTGTAAAGTTAGAGTTTTAAATTTAACTGTAAATCTGAAGTCGGCCTGTTTTATTTGATGCAGGAGGCACTAACCTGACTGGACTTCACACCATGTCTTCCTGCTGCTCTGTGTCTTCTGTCTGTGCTGCAGTGACGCTCTTAAAGTCTGAGACACTGACATACGCAGGATCAGAGTCTAACTGATGGGAGAGACGACAAAATGAAGCTCAATGGACCTCTTTCATTAAACCTGCATATAATTAGATTTGATCAAAAATGTATTCAGTCACGTTTACAAGTAAACGTATTACTGGTTTCTACTCAGCAAGTTGTATTTCAAACATAAATTCACTTCACACTTTCCAGAGCATTTATGAGTCAAGTTATTATAACTGTGATTTAGGGGACATTTTGTCAACAGTACCTCTCTCTCACCTCTATCATCTCTACATGTTCATTTGTTTCAGAGGTGGAGCTCTGAGTTTTCTTCTTCCTGGATTGAGTCCAACAACAACAAATAGAAATTTTAACAATAATGAAATTCAAAACACTAAAACTAAAGGAAGTTTGAAGAATAAAAGAGCGGTGACTGAACTGATGGATTGTGATTGTTTTACCTCGTCCACAGATTCAGGAGAAGCAGAGTAATCAGCATCAAGACCACCAGAGTCAACCTGATGATATTCATGACTATTGTTGAATTCCCTAGAAATAAAAAAATATATATGTGATATACCTTACTTGTACGATTAGATTGGGAAGTCATTTTGCCAGTTGATACTGTCTGTAGTCACAGCTACAGAAAAACAGTCTGAAATTTTATTTCCGTTGTACCAACTATAGGAGTGACAATGTGTTGGTTTTTACATATTAATATGTGAATCAGGTCTGGTGCAGTAAACATCTGTGTATACAGGTGAATGTAGAAAAACGTACCTGCCACAACAATCAGATGTAAGGTGGAGTTATGACGTCCTCTTCTGTTCTGGGCTTCACAGTAATAATTCCCACTGTGTTCAGCTCTGAAGTCAGTGATGGTGAAGTTCTGTCCTGATGCTTTTGGTGAGTCTTCATTCTCCTTGTACCAGATGTATTTAGCTGCTGGGTTAGCATCACTGCTGCAGGTCAGAGTCACTGAACTGCCCTCCACTATCTCAGCAGAGGGACTCACTGACACAGAGGGAAGCTTTGGAGCATCTGGAGGAGAAAGAAATGAGGACAGATATCAGAATCAGAAATACTTTATTGCCTCCGAGGGGAAATTCTTTTGTCACAGTTGCACTTGTCAAAGGCAGATAGATAAAGAGTATATAAATATAATAGTATAAATATAAAAAAAAAGACCAATATAAAGGTGTGTGGGTATGTACAATATTTACATTATTAAGAGTTATTATGGTGAACCAAAAAGGGCAAGTGAATAAATAGCAGCAGAGAATATTGCACTTTACTTATTGAACAGGTAATATTGGACAGAAAATAAGTAATGAGGTCTAGTTTAATAACTGACTAAGTGTCAGAAACTTAAAGGGAGGAGTTATAAAGTTTGATGGCCACAGGCAGGAATGACTTCCTGTGGTGCTCTGTGGTGCATTTTGGGGGAATGACTCTTGCACTAAAAGTGCTCCTGTGTTTGAGCAGCAAGTCATGGAGTGGGTGGGAGACATTGTCCTCCTCAGAAAATAGAGACGGCTTTGGCCCTTCCTGTAGATGGGCTTGAGTGTTCTTGGCCCAGTCCAGTTTATTGTCCATGTGCACTCCCAGGTATTTGTAATCCTCCACAATGTCCACAGGGACCCCCTGGATGGAAACAGGGGTCACTGGTGCCTTGGCTCTCCTTAGATCCACAACCAGCTCTTTAGTCTTTGTCTTTAGTGTTGTGACAAAGTCCCAACACAGATCTGTATTCAGCCTCGTCACCCTTGCTGATCCATCCAACCACAGCAGAATTATCAGAAAACTTCTGAAGATTTGTTTGTGTTGTGTTGAAAAGAGTAAGAGTTATGTGTATGAGGGATCTTAAACTTTGGAGGTGGTTTTGTGACTGGCAGCAGGCAGAGCTGTGTGTTGGGACCACTTGAATTATGCTCATTAAAATCGAAGAAGAGACCAGAAAAATGTCCCTCATACATGTTTTAGAGAAAACGTAGGTGAGTTATATCACCCAAACATGTTGAAATATTTTGGAAAAACTGGAGTAGGGCTTTCCCCGACAAAGGATCTCTCTCTCTCTCTCTCTCTCTCTCTCTCTCTCCTGTCATTCACTGGTCTTGTGCAGAGTTTTGTGTGCATGCCGTGCTGCCGACAACTGAATGCACATCACGGTTCCTCGTGGGTCTAAAATAGCCGGCTATTTAAAAACAATGTAATATTCTTTGTGTGGTTCATCAACGGTGATAAATTATCCGAAAGCCCGCGAGGTGCGGACAACTCGGCGCAACACCAATGAAGCTGGGACTCCGTCTCTTCCAGTGGCGTTTTCTCCCAGAGGCCAAGGGAAGCCAGGCTTCCCCTGTTTTTATCAGACTATTTCTCATTTAAATAAAAACACAATGTTTTTATTTTCGATAAATCTTATGAGCTGTTACTATCATCTCTTCCCCATTTCTCACTGAGTATTTTACAACAAGTGAAACAGCGTCCCTCTAAATGCGTTGGATGTGTGGTGAAACACTATATTGCACCACCGTAGACTGACCTGCAGTCTGACTACACGGGGAGACCAGGCAGAGTTGGCATCCCTTTGTGGAAAAAAAGTAAATGATTAACCAATCAGACGAGGCCACTGTCATGCCACTGCCTATCTGTGATTAGTCAGGATGATGCCAAGGGAAGCCAGCCGCTGTCTGACTTCACGCCTGTCAAATCACAGCATGCGATCAACGTCATTCAGATGAAATAACGGGAGCTGTTAGCAACTTTAGCTGGTGCAGTTATGGAGGGTGGAGATTTGGAGGTTTAGTTATAATAAATAGCTTTATTAAACTACCACTACAGCAGCAATTTAAGATTAAATCTGATGGAAGACCAACGCCAAAACTGGAGCTGGCCTGGAGAGGAAAAAGGGGTTTCGGACGTTTAGTGAGGAAAACTACATCCGTACAGAGTGGCTAGCTGGTAGCGCCAAACTTCAGTTGACTCTGTTGCAGTGGGAAATTCTATAACTTGGTTATTGACCACTTCGCCACCATGACAGACAGGAGAATGCCCTTCCTTTTCAAATAGGGTGAGTGAAATGACACCTCCTTCTCTCCATGAACTTAACTGAACTGCAACTGTGTGTGTGTGATTTTTGATGTGGTTACATTGTTTGTTTTGCTTTGCTTGCCTGGAGTTAGCTGCTGAATGAATAGTCAGCTGAAGTAACCTTATTGTTTTTACTGCGGTTGTGTACGCATAGATAATGAGCTCTGGACAGCACCTGCCACAGGGCCCTGGGCCAGGTTAGGCTACCCCACCCCACCCCACTGGTCTCTTCAGCAAGTGTTCCTCCTCTGCCACTACACACATACACAATACACTACACATGCGCACTGACGACCCAGGGTTAGGGTTACAATACATATATTTATACTTTTCTGCAGATGACTCATGTTGATACTGTAATGTAATTGCATGGGGTTAAAAAAGGTAGTCCTTCCTACAACACAAAAATGATGCCATGTAACAAAATCCAGGAAGTACTTTTCTTTCCAGCTAAATGTATTTGGAAAAAGTTCTAGTTCTATGTAAAATCAGACGTTGGGCACCCCCATATAGAAAAATGGCATGATCCTAAAGTTAGCTGCAGTTTACTCACATTTCACATTGATAAAGACAAATTCAGATGTCTTCCTCCCCAGCTTGCTTTCTGCTGCACAGTAATATTCTCCAGAGTCAGAGGACTGGATGGACCTGAAGACAAGCTGTGGTTCTTTACTTAGAGGATGAAGGTTTGGATTTCCATTCTCTTGTACCAGGTGTATTTAGCTGCTGGGTTAGCATCACTGCTGCAGGTCAGAGTCACTGAACTGCCCTCCACTATCTCAGCAGAGGGACTCAGTGACACAGAGGGAAGCTTTGGAGCATCTGGAGGAGAAAACAAGAACACATTTAACATTTAATTTCAGTATGAGGTTGAGTTTTCACAGTGGAGCATTTTAAATGGACAATATTTCATACAAACTCAAAGTGGAGGTGCAGCTTGATTTCCTCCTGTATCAGAAATTACATGTTGTCATGTTGGACACTTTATTACTAATGCAAAGAAGACGTTTAAAAGAGAGTGGTAATCTTCATGACATTTTAAGGTGTGTGTGTGTGTGTGTGTGTGTGTGTGTGTGTTTTGAGGGTCCATCTAAGGCACATATTGGAAAATACCGAACTAGAAGGATCTATAAATAAAAGAGGAACAGATGTCTTCATTTTAGACTGAACTGTCAACACACACACACACACATAACCTTCATAAGATGTTGAACACTTGGAACTAAATTAATAATATTCAGATGAAAATGTTACCTGTGACAGACAGAGTGACTCCAGGTGAACCAGTATATGTCCCATTTGGTTGGTTTGTTATGAACCTGAACTTGTACTCAGCTGAGTCGCTCTCTCTCAGATCTGTGATTCTCAGAGAGCAGAAGTTTTCATTACAGGTATACTCGACACGACCTGAATACTCTGACTTTGTTTTCAGATCCACAGTTTCATCACCTTTAAACCAGAATGTTTCTTCAACTGTAGTATAATCGTCATTAATAAGGAATGGATATCTAAAGGTGCAGTTTATTTCCACTGTTGATCCTTTTAAGGCACAGATCTGAGTAGAATTGTAAGTCACTCCCCAGCCAAACAGGCTCTGTACCACTGGAACACAGAGCACATCAGACATAACAATCAAAATGAATAACTTCATTTAACATTCAGTTAATAAGACAAAGAGGATCAAACTACTGATATGATTTGTGGAAAGGAGACCTGGACAAGCTCAATTATCTGACTGATAATCTGCAGTTATTGACATAACAGTTCATAATCATGCATCTATCTAACTACTCAACTGGAATTTTATCAGGTATTTATCATATTTTATCATCACTGGGACACAGAAATATTTGTTACTCCCGGGTGTTGCCTGAAAAGTGCATCTTATAAAAAGTCTTCCAAACAAAAAAATGTATAAAATGATATATTACACACTTTTCTGGGATAGAGCAGAAGTTCAGTATGATGTTGTTTTGTATCATTGTTTTCCTTTCTAACTTCTAACAAACACAATGAGTGGCTTGATTTCCTCTTGTATTAGAAACTACATGGTGTCCTGTACCTTGAATTCTAATTGCACACTTTGTTACTGAAGCAGTGGTGGAAAGACACGCTGAAGGAGACGTAATCTTCACGTCTTTAAGAAGTTTCTTCGATAATTTTCTTTCATTCATTTTTTTGACTGCAGTTTCTGTAAAGTGTGTGTGTGCATTGGCAATTAGGGTGCATCTAAGGTGTCTTTAAAAGTGGCGTGCTATTTATACGCCATTCCAAGATATCATGTTACTGTAGGGCTCATATTTGAAATACCAAGGTAGAAGGATGTTGCATCTGAAATTAAGGGTCAAGATTGCAGAATAAACACAATCAGAGAATGTCTATGATGGTGGTCACAATATTTTGTGAACCAATGACATGATGACAAATATTATTTTGCAAAATATTCAGTGCTTTTGT